CCTTCACAGACCTGACATCTGACTCTCTCTCCAACATTGCCTATTGAATCACATCACTTGCCCTGTGCTAAGTGTCCCTAAAAGAGCTATTTGCTGTTGGCTTTATGCCCAGCATCTCTAAGAGTTATAACACTGGTCTCTGCCTGACACATCTAGCACTAACTCCAGTGCTGTTTCCTTTGGTGCTGACCAGTCTGGTGTCCTATGCTGCCTGACCCAGCCTTCCTATGGCTGATGCTACTACTGTAATGCCACTTAGTAGAGACCTTCACAAAACCTTCACTGAGAAATATGAAACCTTCAACTTTTGAGAACTTTACCTTTGATCTTTGCTTTAAAACATTGCCTATTTCTACAGTCTCTGGCTCCGATTCTCTTCTTTCTCCCAACTTCTCTATTTTTTTTCACCCTTTTGTAAATGAAGTATGTTGTTGTTGAGCCCTTAAATTTGAGTCATGTCCCACAATTTCAAGGGTAAGTGCACAGATGAGAACCCACCAACCATAATGTATCATCTCCCCAGCTTGCATGGTTTCACATCCATCTATCTGTCATTGGATCCTTCAGTTGTTTCCACAGCTTTTGCTATTATAAATAATACTGCAATGCACACAGGAGTGTATATATCCTTTCAAACTAGTTATTTTAGCATTCTTGAATTAGATACTTAGTAGAATTGCTGCAGTATATGGCAAAATCTATATTTAATATTTTGAAAAATGGCAGTGCTTTTTTCATAAAGGTTGAATTAGTTACATTCCCAACACCAGTGGTCATGGATTCCTTTTCTCCCACACCCTCACCAATACTTGTTATGATATGGGCTATTCTCACTAGCAAAATTATTTTCTTTTAAATAATGATGAGCAGTTGACATCCAAAATTGATTTGTGACCTCACACCCCCCATGCCATTATAAAGACAGACATCTTCATAATGCTGGAGGTTAAATGAGTACTCACAGCACTTCCCTCCAGTATCAAGAACTCACCTGACATGGAAAGGATTCTGATAACATAAGGATTACTTCAAAATCAAAACTTTAAGTTTCAGCTGATTTGAGAAGATGATTGAGATCATTTTCTCAATTGTCTTTGTTTCTAAACAAAAATTAAAACCCTCCTTTTTTCACACAGGGGTTTTGAGTAACTCAGTTCTGGACAAGCTTGAGCCTTTTACAATATATTCTTTTCTTTGAAGATTTTTTTTTTTTAGTTTTGAGGTAGAAGATTGTTTTTATTCCCATGTATGTCCTGGGCAAACAACCTCACTCCTTGATTTATTTTGGAAACCAATCAAAGAACAAGAATGTCCAGAGTAGCAATACTTTGACTTACTTTTATCTAGAATTATGGAAATAGGGAAAAACAGAAGTTTGTGGCCAACTTTGGTGTGTTCTTTGTTATTTCGAGAGCAAGGTAGCTGCTATATTCTTTGAAAGAAGTTTTCTGCTAATAAATACCAAAAAAGATAACCATAAATAGAATATAAAAAACATATGAAATGTATTTCATTAAAAAATTTGTACCTGCTTCTCAAAAGCATATAGAAACTGAAGTAGGAAAAATGAGACTTTTGGGGTTGGTGGTACAGCAACAACACTTATGTTTCCTTCTATCCCCTTCTCTCACTGCTCATAATATCATTTTGTAGTATTTCATCCCTAATGTTTGGTTTAATGAGCCCAAACTTCCATTGTGAAAAATCATAGGATAAGTGGAGAGGAATAGATAGATCATCAAAAGTGAGCCTAAAGATAGCTTTAAGATCTCTAAATAGTTCTGGAAGCCCAAATAGCTCAAGACAACTAAAGAATATTGATGTTGGCAATGAGAAATAAGCATATAACCTGTAAAAAGACCAAGGTTAGGGTTGGACATCTCTAAAGAGACACAATATATAAGAAGGCAATGGAATGACATGACTGAAAAACCTAGAGGTAAAAACTGCCAACCAATAATTCTGAATCCTACAAGGCTCTCCTTTAGATAGGAGGCCTTCTCAGACAAAGAAAAACTGAAGGAGTTTTTAAAAAATTACATTCCCCCTCTAAGAAGTATTGAAAGGAATCCTAGTATCTAAAACAAAGAGAAACATACACAAAAAAGGATTGAAAAGGAAATAGATAGAAATTCAAAACTAAAGACAAATGACAGTAAAAGACTTTATCACATTAATGATCACTCTAAATTTTAACAGACTGTACCCACCAATCAAAAGGCAGAATATCCATTGTCTTTAGGAGACATAGCTGAGAGCTAAAGATAAACATAGACCCATGGGAAAAGGTTGGAAAACAATCTTATATACAAGTAGAGCCAAAGGAATGGAGCCTTGCCATATTTACATCAGACAAATAGATTTACTGATAAAGTAGGTAACAAAAGGATGGAAGGTAGCTTCCACCACAAAGAACTAGAAAAAAAACAGGTAAAACCAAAAGTCAGCTGAAGGAAGGAAAAAACAAAAAGTTAGAGTACAAATAAGTGGATCAGTATTTTAAAAGATGGTCCAAAAGATCAATAAACTAAAAGTTGGTTCTTTGAAAAAATAAACAATATAGAAAAACCTCTCACAGCACTATATATACAAAAGATAATAATAAGAGAATATTATGAACATTTATATGCAAACAATTTCAGCAACCTTGATGAGATAAACACATTTTAGAATTCTACAATATTTTTTCTTTTCAATTTTTTAAAAGAATCATGTTTAAATTCTTGAAAAATTAATTGAAAAAGTTGAAAAGGAAAGAATATTTCCAAACACATTTTGTGAGACCAGCATTATACAAATACCAAGACAAAACAAAGGCAACATACAAAAAGTTAAACGACAGACCAATTTTCCCAATGAATACAAATGCAGAAGTCCTCAACAAAATCTTAGCAAATTAATTTGAACAATGCATTGAAAGGTTTATACATTATGACAAAGTGGAATTTATACCAGAGACACAACAAAAAGGAAGATAAAAACCATATGATCATACTAATAGATGCTGAGACAGATTTTGATAAAACTTAGCATCCATTTATGATGAAAACCCTTGGAAAACGGAGTAATGGTAAATATCTTAACATTATAAAAGTCCCATGTGACAAACCCATACTTTCATCACACTCAATGGTGAAAAATTAAGTCTTTCCAATAAATATGCTACAAGAAAAGGATGTCCACTCTCATCACTACTATTCAACATAGTATTAAAAATCCTAGCTATAACAATTTGGCAAGTGAAAGATACAAAAGGAATCCAAATTGAGAAAGAAGAAGTAAATCTATCATTATTTGCAGATGACATGATAATATACATAGGGAACCCTAAAGATGTTGTTAAAAAAATAATTAAAACAATAAACCAGTTCATCAAAATATCAAGCTACAAAATCATCACACAAAAATCAGCTTCCTATACACAAACAATGAGGTAGAAGAAATTAAGAAAGTCATCTCTGCCCTCCCTGGTGGTACAACAGGTTAAAGAGCAGCACTATGAAGCTATTGCCAGCCACTGCAACAAGACTTTGATCCCCAGCCAGGAAGGTGACCCTCATGGCCAAGCAGACCTTTCTTGTTGCTCCCACTGCTCCCCTCAGCAGTGTATTTCAGTAACTCTGCCTGTTCTGCTCCCCACTCTGTCTCTGGTGACTCCTCTCACCCCTTGTATGTCTGGCCTGTCCCCCTGTTTTTGTATGCATAAATAAATAAATCTTTAAAAAAAAGTCATCTCGGCACATTGGTGATTTGGTGATGGGAAGTCCAAGGGTATTATAACTGAGATGAAAAAATGCACAAAATGATGTGAAAATAAACTATTATATATTAAAAAAGTCATCTCATTTGTGGTTACACCAAAAAAAAAAAAAAAAAGTGAAGGGCCTATACCTCTAAAACACTGTTGAAAGAAATAGAGGACACAAAGACATCGAAAGATATTCCCTGTTCATAGAATGGAAGAATAAATGTCAAAATGGCCACCCTACCCAAAGTAGGTTACAGATTCAATACAATCCCAAGAAAGTTTCAGTGGTATTATTCAAAGAAATGTAACAAATACTACTGAAATTCATATGGAACCACAAAAAACTCTGCATATACAAAGCTCTCCTGACCAAAATAAAAAAGTGGGGATGGAGGGGAAGAAGGGAGGAAATGATGGTATTACAGATCTAAACTTCAAACTATACTATAAAGTTATAATAACTAATACATCGTAGCACTGGAACAGAAACAGACACATAAACCAATGAAATATATAATTCAGAGCCCAGAAATCAAAATACACTATGTGGACAGCTGCTCTATGAAAAATGAGTGAAAAATATATAGTGGAACAAGAAAAGCCTGTTCTATAAATAGTATTAGGAAAAATTGACTACCACATGCAAAAGAATGAAGCTAGACCACTATCTCTTACCATACAAGAAAATCAATTCAAAATGGATAAAAGACTTGGATGTAAGATTTGAAACCATAAAACACAAAGATAAAAACATAGGCAAAACTGCCTAGGACATAGATTCTCTGCTTCAGAGAATCTTTATATATTCATTTCCAGTGGCAAAGAAAAAAAGAGAGTATTAATAATTGGGATGATATCCAACTAAAAATCTTCAGCACAGAGAAAGAGACAACAATGAAAAAACAACCTACTTCATGGGAGAAAATATCTGTAAACCACATGTTTGACAAGGAACTGACATCAAGTTGTACAAGTTACAAAGCTAAAGTGAAAATAATAAAAAAATAAACTTTTGAACCGAAAGTCTTCAAATACAGATAGCTGGCATATCTAAAGTCAGAAATTTGCTTAAAATGTCCTAGAACTAGTCTAGTAGAATTTTTGCCTACTTTATGGGGACAATTGATTTATCAAAAAAAAAAAGCTTTCTCTGATGATGAAATGTATCATTGCTTGATTGGGTGAATGTAAATATACACTGGCATCCTGCCAAATGCAATCACAGCTGGATGAAAAGGAACTTTATACTTACCCAACTGACCCCTTGCCAAAGAATATCCTGAACCCTGACATTTGAAAGCATAGTAAGAAACCACGTGGTGGTTTCATTGATGAGAGCTGTCTGAAATCCAAAAAGCAAAATAAATAAAGGTGGTACAAACTGGTTATGAGGTTTTAAGATTCACCCAGATGCTGACATTGGAGGAGACTGGGGAAAATGTACATTTGTATTTGAGAAATTTCTTTGCCATTAACAAAGTTGGCTTTTTAGAATGTACATCCTTCCACTACTCCCATCATTAATTCCTCCAGGATTGCTGAGCCTTTTCTTAGATTCATATTCAACTGGAGCACTCACAGGCTAAACATTTACAATTCACTAGGTGACAAAAAGGCTGAAGAGGCTGGTTCACCTGCAGAGATCCTGGGTTCATTGTTGATGCACCCCAGGGCTCTTTCATCTAGATGGTGATTAATAATCTATGTAACAGTGACTTTTTAATCAACACCTGCAATTTCCACCATGCTTTGTGGGTGTTATAGCATTTTCTTATTTCATTTCAGCAGCAAAGGCAAGCATTGATGAGGCCCTGCAAATTGGGGCTGAGTTCCTGTGCTAAGTCCCTGCAGCTTGGCTGCAGAGAGGGATGAATGAGGAGAAATAATCCCACCATCAGCCTAAAATAAATCTAGCAACTGGGTACCAGAGCAGGAGAAAAGGACTGAATTTTAGGGCAGAGGAAAAACTCTCTGGGCCAAGCAGAAGGCTATAGGAGATGAGGAGAGGGATTAGAAATGGATGGACATTCAAGTGACGGAGACTCAAACTTCTTACCGCATGAGTAAAGAGCTTCAACTTCTTTAAGAAAGAACATTAAACTGTACCTATGAGGACTTATTTGAGACAATGTATGATCCAGTCAGGATCAGGAAAAAACTGAGGACAAGAAGATCAGCCAATAGCTGATAAACATCTCTGTGTACACTTACTTAACCAGTCCAAGCTAAGGCTTTATATTCATAACCACAGGAACCCACCCCTTGCTCCTAAAGAATAGGTCATTATTGCCCTGATTGTAGGCCAAAGAGATTGGTAAAGCTTTGAGTTAATCACTCCACTTTCACAAAAGTTTGACTAAAGTTGAGAGTAGCTGGTCACTAAGCTGGGACTTTAACCTGGTACTCAACTCTCAGATGATAATGATGATGGTGATAATAAGAACATTGCCAAAGGAAATGAGTAGGTAGGCGTTAAACATCCTGGCAGCTAGGGACTATTCTGGTGCTTTGCACATTTTCAGTTTTGGGAGTGGGTTATCAGATGACCTCCTTATCTTCAAGATACAAATGACCTCCTTATCTTCAAGATACAGACTCAGATGGTGGAGGCCTAAATGCAGGGAAAGAGTGGTCAGTGCTGTGAAGGTGGGGGTCCCTTGAGAAGCAGGGCAGCAATAGAATATTTTACCAAAGTTGTATGGTTGAGATAGTCCGAGAAGGCAAAGGGGCTAAGGGGGAGAAGCAGGAGATAGGGGTTTGTTTTGCTTTTAGTAAACTGAGACCACTTCCACTAAAGGATTGTACCCATTACAAAAAAAAAAAAAAGAATTTCCTGAAAATGCATCTAAACAGTGTTAGCAATAATTTCTAGAGGGTTCACTAAGTTTGAAATTCTTATGAACCAATAATCTAGCTTAAAAAATGGGTAGTTTTACAACCCCATCAAAAAATGGGCAGTAGAGCTAAAAAGACACTTCTCCAAAGAGGAAATGCAGATGGCCAACAGGCATATGAAAAAATGTTCAACATCACTCGTAATAAGGGAGATGCAAATTAAAACCACAAGGAGATACCACCTCACCTCAGTGAGAATGGCACATCTTCAAACAACTAGCAACAACAAATGTTGGCGAGGATGTGGAGAAAAAGGAACTCTCCTGCACTGCTGGTGGGAATGCAAACTAGTACAACCACTATGGAAAACTGTTTGGAGGTTCCTCAAACTGCTAAACATGGAGCTTCCCTACGACCCAGCAATCCCACTCCTTGGTATCTACCCAAAAGACACAAAAACACTGATTGAAAAAGATACTTGTACCCCCATGTTTATTGCTGCTTTATTTACAATTGGAAAAACATGGAAGCAGCCCAAATGCCCAAAAGTAGATGACTGGATAAAAAAGATGTGGTACATATATACAATGGAATATTACTCAGCAACCAAAAAAGAGAAACATGTCTTTTGCAGCAACTTGGATGGAGCTGGAAAAGATCATGCTTAGTGAGATAAGCCAGAAAGAGAAAGAAAAATACCGGATGGTTTCACTCATAGCAGGAGTATAATGGACCAGGCAAGAAAATAACAAAAATAATGAACAACCATATACTAGAGACATTTTGTGGGGGTGGAGTGGGGAATGGGATCAAAAACGGGGGAGGGGGAAGGGAGGGAAATGCACGGGACTATGGTGGTGGCACAGGGGTGATTTGGTGATGGGAAACCCACGGGGATTACAATCGAGATGGAAAAAAAAATGTGCAAAATGATGTAAAAATAAACTTTTGTGATAATTAAATAAAAAAATGGGTAGTTTTAGTTAGCATTTATTAACTTTCTGAAGTCACGTAAGAGGAATTTTCATTCACATAAAAATCATTTGGAAAGTTTGAGCCTTTTATTCTTCTGCCCAACTGCATATTTGAGAAGATAAATCTTTAGTTCTTATTGTGGGAGTTCTTTGTGTTTGAGTTACATGTAGAAATATTCAAATGGTGTAGGAGGTACAAAATGAAAGACTAAAATTTCATTCTACTCTTCAGAAGTGGCCTATTTGATCATATGTGTTTTCAGTTGTGGTGATTTACACTGCATCTAAATTATTTATGTACCCCAGAAAGGGCATATATGTTAAAGCTTATTAAAAAGCTTGAATTGTGAACAAAATGGAGTGGTATTTTGTGTTACTTTTACTAAGAGAAGTTGACCTATCTCACCTTTTAGAAAGATATTTTATTGAAGTTTTCAGCAGAGAGCTCTCAAATGTTGGTATTTCATGCGAAAGTGTGCTTTTAGTACCTGACATAACCACAAACAGCTTCATGACAACATTACTAAATGTACATTAAAATATTCATGTAAATACTATTTGAATAACTTTTATGCCTGATAAAACCTGAAGAACCTTTTAAGTGGATGAGGTGTTTGCTTAAAGAAATAAACTTGCTTTTAGACCAGTTTTATTAGAAGCCATGAAGTTTATATTGTGGCCTAAATGTGCATCCTCTACAGGAAACTGGGGTAACCAAAAGAAAAAAGAAAAACAACAGTTCATGGGAAGTCTTCTGTTGTGTGAGATGTTGCCAGCTTATTTGTCTGGCATCATTATGAAGGCATCCATTAGCACTGCCTTCTCTTACTTTTCAACCAGATAGTTGAACTCAATCAAGGCATGATCCTCCAACTTTACAGTCATTAAAAGTAGGGATGCAAATAAGAATGGATTGCTTGTTTATTTTGCACCCTTTCCATTTGAATGCTGTGGGTTTCAGCTGCAAGATGAATTTTTATGCCATTTCCTCATTTGATTAATTAACCCAGCTGCTATAATTGTTTCAACATCTCCTGTATATGCAGCCTCTCTAGTCCCATTGCCCGAGTCCCCATTAGAGTGGGTCTGGGGATGTGGGGCGGAGGGGGGGGCGGGGGCGAGCTTGACAACCATGTTCATAATTGCTTTGTCTAATTGCATAGGATCAGGGTGGTAAACTTGAAAAGGGTTTTTGCATCCATCGTGGTATTTCAATTTGCCTTGTTGATATCAAGCCTAATTTTACCAAATGTCATTATGTCCACAGAAAGAGTGAAATGTGAGATAGGAAAGGTTAATGTGGGAGCAAATGCTGCAGCCCATCTCTTAGCCCTTCACCTGCCCCCCACACCCGTTCTATCCTTTCTACTGTCTCACTGTGATAAAGTCTGTGGAACTTCACACACTCTCCCCGACACAGAAGGTCGTCCAATGCCACAGCTTCCAGGGGAGAAGGCAAGTCCTGGTGGGTCTTCTTGTCCTCATTCATCACAGGTTGGCAAAGTGAGCTGATGGCTGGGGAGAAGACAGAGGGACTCAGTCCCTCTCCTCAAGCTCGGGAGTAATCTCCTTGCCCACAGCTCTTCATCCCCAAGGGTAAAATTACATTTCAATCTGTTTTTCTTTGTAAACTAAATTCACTACAAGAGGGGATGGTATGCTTTTCCAGCCTGTCAGAGGGGTCTTTGGTGCACACCAGGTGAAGAACTTCCGGAAGGTGACTCCTTTCATCCCTCAGTAACTGGCATCTCTGAGTGTCCCACCAGCCACATCCACCCTGCCCCGCTGCAGCCACATATTTGATCAGGAATCACACAAGGCTCTTAATATTTTTAAAGATCTCTCTATTTGTCATGGAATTGTATCCAGCCCAGGGCATCAGTGATGGGAATCATAAGGGCATTATCCCCACCATCTTCACTTCTGCTATTCATTTCAGAGTAAACAAAAGGTCTCACCATGCAGCAGGGGAGCTGTGAATAGTCTTTAACTGCATTGGTGTTAACTAGCATTATAGAGGTAAGAAATGGCTAATATATACTCTTCTTTATACAGCTTCTGCCGAAGTGAGCATGCTCAATATAGCGGCCACTGGCCACATGTATATATTTAAAATTTAAATTAATAAAAGTTTAAACCAAATTTAAAAATCAGCTCCGTAGTCACACTAACTGTTTCCTGTGCCTGATCACCCTGTGGCTAGTGAATGCCATGTTGGAGGACACAGCTCTTCGACATTTGCTCTCTGCAGAAAGTGCCATCAGGCAATGTGCCTCTGGTTCTTGGTCTTGTTCAGGTTCAGTCCAGAACCTGCCTACTTCCTCCCTTCTTCCTGGCACTCTGGCCTTCACCCACTGTCTAAATGTCTAACCCTCCTGTCTCCAATTCCCTCACCTCCTTCATTGCCTTGCCATGAAAACAGGTGTGTTTCATGGTCCCCTGTCTGGGGATCAAACCCCACTGGAACTTCAGTTCTGCTGGTTTCAAATGATTTCACTCATTCATGACCTGTGTGATACCCTTTGACCAATGGGGGGCCTCCCTGGAGGCTCGATAGATTAAAGCACAGCACTGTGAAGCTAGCTGCAGCCTCTTCAGCACAAATTCAATCCCTGGCCAGGAAGGCGACATACACAACATAGCAGACAGACCTCTCCTGACCTCCCCAGAGCTCCTCTCAGCAGTGTAATTCGTCAGTCTGCCTGTTCTGCTCCCCACTGTCTCTGGTGAGTCCTCTCACCACCTCTTCACCTCTGGCCTGTACCCCAGTTCTGTATGCATAAATAAAAAAATCTTTTAAAATATTATCCAATGGGGAGACAGTTTTAGAGAGTGTAAGTAACTAAATTGTTTGAGGTTATCTTGGGGGGAAAGTATGTACTGAACACACTCCACAAACACGCTTATGCGCTACACCCAGCCCCTAGACTGAAGAGATCCAAGACACCAAGAACTACAAACCCCATAATGTCACCCCTGAAGGGCAGATTGCTGGGACCTGAGGGTGGGGTTAAGCAGCCACAGTTGGTACATAACCAGGCGGGAGGCCTTGGTTTTCTCTGGCTTTCAGTGTTCGCTATGGGAGTTCCAGCTGAGCAGAACTGGTAGGACACAGTCACTAATTTATCTCTAGTTCTCCCTAAGCTATTCCTTTCTTCATTCCCACCCCCACCCCAGTTTTTGTAAACAAACCCTTTGTTACCCTTTTTGGGTGTACCGGAACTTAAGTCTCATAAGAACCTATGGAGCACATGGGTGAGGACCCACAGTGTGTCCAACCCATTTCCACACTGGAGCTGCCCTGCAACAGCTGCACCCCACATAAGCTATCTTCTAAATGCTTCCTCTGGTTTGCAAAAATGTGTTACAGTTACATGGTCTTGATTTTAAAGACAGGTAAGTTCGTCATTTACTGCCTCTTGGGGGTGTCAGTACGGAAAGTGCACTGGCATAGAAGGGAACACCTGGCTGTGCATTGCTTCCCCGCCCAAGGCCACCTCTCAGTGAGCCCTGGGACTTGGATGAGATTTGGTGTTTCCCTCTTGAGGCCACAGTTTCTTTGGAAAATTCAAAGTGGGAGCTGTTAACAAAATGATGCTAAGATTTCCTCTTATTCAAGTAGGAAATGTATATTTTATTCATAAATTCTGGATTATTAATTTTCCCATATGATTTAAGAATAGTTTTTGAAAGGTTCCCTGCCCTATTGTTTTCAATTTATTTATTCTGACATACAAGATCTGGGGTACAGGCCAGAAATATGGGGGATGAGAGGATTCACCAGAGAGAGCGGGGAGCAGAACAGCCCGATCTACCGAAGTACACTGCTGAGGGGAGCAGCAGGTGAGACAGGAGAGGTGCATCGTGTGGGTCACCTCTCTAGCCCCTGGCCGGGATTCAAACTCCTGCTGCAGTTTAGCTGCCAATAGCTTTGTAGTGCTGTATCTTCACCCCTTGCACCACCAGTGACATTTTATTTTTTTATTTAAAAACAAGTGGCATTTATTTTATTTTTATTTAAAAATAAATAAAATTCTGTAAATATTTTACAATAAGATTTCAGTTATTT